AAAAAGGCATTGCCTCATCTCATAGGCACGATCTCAGCAATAGAGCCAGAGTAGATTAGATATTAGGAAGGAATTCCTCCCTGTGAGGGTGGGGAGGCCCTGGCACAGGTTGCCCAGAGAAGCTGTGGCTGCCCCATCCCTGGGAGTGTCCAAGGCCAGGTTGGACAGGGCTTGGAGCAACCTGGGCTAGTGGAAGGTGTCCCTGCCCATGGCAGGGGATTGGAATGAGATGATCCTAAAGTTCTCTTCTAACCCAAACTATTCTATGATTCTAAGATATTCTGTTTTAGCAAGGCAAGATATCCATGAACAACTATAACAATGATTAAAGGTGGCAACAATGCATTAAAAAGGATATTTTCTTTAGATTTAAGGGAAGAGATCTAATTAATGGTATTAAGCCCTTTTTAGTGTGAGATCTGTGTCTGTAGGTAGTGCAGCACGAGCAAAGGCAGGTGCCCCACATCACTGTGTAGATTATCTCCACGAGGCACTACATCAAGGAGGTTTTCTCCATAGATGTTCATTCCAGGTTGCTCCCTGTAATGACCTCAATTATACATGTCTTCATGGGGAAATTATGACTGCCTTTGGCAGGCTGCAAATGACAGCAGAGAGAAAGATTTCCATGATAAACCAGCACAACAAGCAGTACCTGCTGCATTAGTATGCAGAGCTGGTGAGGGTGCAGTGTAACTCCAGCTTAGCACCTTAGGTAACACTGGAGAGGAGGAGGGACAGAGGAAAATGTTCAACAGGATCTTGACATTTTTCTTACAAGAAGAGGAATTAGTAAGGCTTCACGTTCTCGCCGTGGGACTGGCACTGCAAGGAGTTTAATGTAATTTAATGTGAGAACATCAGGATGGCAACTGCTGGGTCACCAGAGGTGCTCAGTGCTTCAGGCTCAGTGTCAGGCCAGGCAGGAAAGGTGGGAGAACCCCTGGCACACAGGGAGGGATTGATCTCTCACCCTCCAGAACAGGGCAGAGGGGTTTGGAGATGGCACTGCCCTGATTCCTGAGCCACACAGTGCTCAGGCACTGAGCTCTGCCATCACCAAAGGACAGGTTGTGGTGTCCTGGCCACCCTTCACTGATCTTGATTTTGTACCACATTTAGTGTCTTTCATCTGCCTGATTAAAGGTTACTTCAGGTCCTCTGATACAGAGTCAGCCTTAATTCAGTTCTTTCTTAAAGGTGATCATTACAAAGCCCTGTCTGAAACCAGTAAAAGTTGAGTGAAAAATGACAGCATCCCATTCTCTGCTGATGGCATCTCTCTCGGATAACAGGAGGCAAGAACTTTTTTTTTTTCCATCTGGAATAAGCTGAAGAGTTACTTCAGCTGAAATCCCAGAGAGAAGTACCAGGTTTGACATGACTTGATGACTGTGGTCAGCAAGGACTGATACTCGTTGGACCTATGGGATGTAGAAAGCTGGTTTCCATGCATCATCCTGCAGAATTTCCAAATGAACATAAAACTGCTTGATTTTAGGATCAAATTCCATGCCAGCTTGTGTTCTGCAAGTGAGCACCATTTGTTATGTTCAGTTTTACACACATGGTAAAAATCCTTTTATCTCCTAAAGGTTTTTAAAAATAAAATGAAAAGTACTCAATACTTAATCTAGGAGCTCTACACAAAATCGTTATGGTGACTTGAATAATTTGTACACATAAATCAAATAACATCAGTGTGTCTAAGCTCTATAAATTAGGTACGAGACTCTTGAGTTTTTTAAGAGATTTTTCAAAAGCTCAGCCTCCCATCCTCTTAGGGAATCCTGTTTCCTCCCCAATACACCTGATTGCATAAGGAAATCTTTTCTGTGGATAACAACAAAGCAATAACTGAAACCACACAAAATAATTCTGTAGTAGTAGAAAGGCTTTTAGATGTTAATAAGAGTCCCTCAAATGTATTGGTAATAAGATGCTCTCAAATATGCTCCATAGAAACACTCTAAAAAGGAGTGTGTTTGTGTTGTTAAAGTGGTCTGTGCTAATTACATGCTTTAACATAAAAAAGTCATCTCCTGGCCTCATATGGTTCATCCAGGAATGGCAGCTGTGCAAGGTGTCTTCTTAATTAAAAGTTAATGTATTTTTCATTACTGTGCTTCTAAAAAGGAAAAGCTAAAGCCTTTTTAGCAGTCATTTGGAAGATGGGCAGGGAGCCTTAAATTCTGCTGCAACAAAGCACTCAAAAAACGTTGCTGAAGAGGGAGCTTATGGGAGCCCAGCATGAGCCAGGGAGCTCAGGGCAGGATGAAAAACAGCAGAGGGAATTAAGGAAAACAGCAGTAAGATGAAAAAACAATTCTCTTGTAAATGAATGGCCCTGTATTTCATTTCTCCTCAAGAAAAGATGTCCTCATTAGCCCTACTCCACGCTACAAATTATTGTAATTATCAGTTCTTTATCCTGTCAAGTGCGCTCCAAATATTTTATTCATTAAAAGGAGGTCTTTATTATGCAGAAAATAACTACATTTTTAGCCCCTGTGTGCTGTTTACATGCTTCAGGAAGCTGGATGGGGGTGTTGGGATGGACATACCATCCCTGGAAATGTCCAAGGCCAGGTTGGATGGGGCTTGGAGCAACCTGGTCTAATGGAAGGTGTCCCTGCCCATGGCAGGGGGGTGGAATGAGATGGGCTCTAAGGTCCCTTCCAACCCAAACCATTCTGGTTCTCTGGGGCATCTCCACTCCTATGCCTGTGCCCCTGAGTTGCCACATCCCTGATCTCTCCCAGCAGGTGCCTGAGGGCAGTGTGATTTAATGGGGTGTTATCTCTTCCTAGCTCAGCCGCCAAACAGCTCAGTGACCTTGTGTGGGTAATGTTCTCCTTCCCAGTCTTAATTCATCTCCCCTTCTGATTTTTAAGGTGTGAAGCACAGAATATTGATGGTTGGATTCTGTTAGTCTCTCTTCTCATGTAATGCCTCTGGAAGCCAACAAATACTAGCACCAAGTTAGTAAAAAATTCCTAATTTTGACCACCCATCTATCATAACTATAGCTACCTGTTATTTAAAACAGCTTGTACTCTTCCCAAAACAGCACTGGGAATTCTAAGGAGGAGAAATGCTCACTGCTGGCAGATATGGGATGTATCTGTATGGATCCCTGCAGCCCAAAGTCAGCCTCAGATCCACAGTGGCGAATACATTTTGTGGCACATTAACTCCTCTCTTAGGTGGAAGAAGCAGGAGAGGAGGGGTGCAGAGCTGTTGGAGCACGTCTGCACAAGCAAGTTTGGCACTAATTCTTCACAGTCAGTTGCTAGAGCAGAGCACTGAGTCTGTCCAGGCTGCCCAAGGCTGCTGACATAGCCTGAGGATTTTAGTGAACAGATTTAAGAGATTTGCTACTCAAGAGATGTTAAAGCAATTTTTCAATTAGACTACACGTGAAGAGGTAGAAAGTGGTGCTTGCCAACGTTGATACTTTTTTTTTTCATTTTTATTCCATGCATTTCCATCGTGCAAGCCCCATCAATGAATGCAAGATTTTCCCACCAAAGCCGTTAAAGTTTAAGGCCAAATCACATCTTAATCTGTGAACTGACATGATAAAATGGGTGTTCAGATTCACTGAAAGTCAGCACTTCAGAGGGCTGGAGGAAAGTGCACATGGCATTGAGATCTTCTCAGGAAGTGACATGAAGATCTTGTGTGGGGTGTAATGATGGAGATGTGGTTTTAAAGAGGTGGTGATGAGGATTCAGTAAGGTCTGCCTCAGGAGTTTCTTTTGTGTGGCACATGTAAGTCAAAATAACTGTTTGTTGTTTTGTTTTTTTTTTAATTTAAATAAAATACAAGAAAGCTTTGGTTTTTAGGACATCTGTATCTCAGATGCCATATATGGCTGTCTTTGGTAAAGAAGATTTCCTGTTTGGTGGCTTCCAGTATTTGGACAGTTTAAAACTGGGTTTATCTATGTTTCAGTGGCAACAGTCTGACCTTAATTCTTCTTCAAGGAGTGAACATGACTCGTTTTTGTGCTTTTTCAAAGGACCTTGGCAGGAGGGCTGTAGAGAAACAAAGCCAGATGATCTCAAGCCAGAGAGCTTGTCCTCCCTGTCCTCCTGATACTGCTCTGTATCAGCCAGGCTGGCTCGTGGGCCACCTCAGTGCCCTCGTGCCACAGCTGCCACTGAGATGCCTTAGCAAAGGGACACAGTGACTTTGATTGTGGCAGATTCCACTTGTCTCTTTACTTGGCTTTATTGTTTATGTCTTTGGGTTTTTTATAGCATAGATATTCCACCTCCTTGCCAAAATCCTTCAGAGTTATTCCTGGAATGAGAAAGAAAGGAGGCAGAGGGGGGATGCGATAGTTTTAGTCTAGGCCTTCCTTGGTGACCAGTTTGTAACCAAGGAAGTGGCCACGTTCCCAGTATTCCATACGATTTTTGCATAAGTCAGGGCATAAATAAGAAGGAGAGAGAAGCCTCTTCCTCCCTTCACTTCCGATGGACTCGAGAACAGCAGGTCCTTGTGGTTGGTCTTGCTCATCTGGGTGTTGAGGCCTTCGGGCCCTGTTGTTTCTGCTGATCCCGGGAGGTGGAGGGTGCTGGCGGTGCTTGGCGCAATTCTGCTGTCTCAAGGAGAGAGTAGTAAGATTTTATTTTGCTAGTTCTTTATTGATTGTGCACACCTGCTTCGGGTTTCTTTTGTGTTTTTGTACCTTTTCCCTTTCCCTTCCCCTTTGGTGGGGGTTGTTTGGGGTTCTCTTTTTATACGTACATAGTATTGTAACTGTATATAACTGTGATATATGTAAATATATATATTTTGCTATAGCTCCATTGGTTTCAAGTCTTTCATCTTCTCTAATAGTTTTTTTTTTTCCTTTACCCAAAGGGGAGGGGGAGTCTGTAGTCTGGGGGACTTGGCGGGAAGCCAACTCGAAACGGCGTCGGGGGAGGAGAGGCCCAGCTTCCCTGTGCAGTGTTTGATGTTGTTCCTGTCGCTGTGCCTTTCACAGAGGTGGTTCGGCTGAGCCTGCCGGAGGAGCAGAGGGTCACTGTCACCACCATCACCGTGGGCCTCAGCACCGTCCTGACCTGCGGCATCCGCGGGGCCCTGCGGCCTCCCATCGTCTGGAAGCGCAACGGCGTCGTCCTCAACTTCCTCGACCTGGAGGACATCAACGTACGTGTTCCCGCGGCCGTTGTCTGGGCAGGGCCTCCAATGTGACCTCATTCACTCAGAGGTGATAGCTAAAAGGGCACGAGTTTTATCTTGTTGTTGTGGAAAACTTGGAGCTGGTGTGATGTTTGGTGTACGTGAGTATGTCCGAGGGGTAAAAGCAAAGCGGTGGAGAGCAGGAGGACTTGGAACATGTTACGTGAAATTAAAGCTCAGTGCTGCAGTGACCCAGCACAGGGACTTCATCCCTGGTTGCTCATTCCATTGGTGCAACCTTTGGTCCACACACCTGGAGAGTCAGGGGGAAGCAGCTCTACAGACCATTAGATCCTCAGGGATGTCTTTCCCAGTACAAAGAAACAGGTTCATCAAGAGCATGAAACAATTTGGGATTGGCAATGACTCTCTCTCCCCTCTCTGAATCAAATAATACTTTTCTATCTCTCTCCCTCCTGTTTCACTTGCCTTTCAGCCAATACTCCTCTCTCATTCCTTGGCTGCTGTTTCTGTGGAGCAGTTTAAAAATGGGATTATTCAGCAGGGTGTGGCAATGCCCTCACAGGAAGGAAGATGAATCTCTTTTAATTCACGGTGCTGGTCTGATCTGTGAGTCATAGTTGATAGTAGAGACAATACCTGAATGATGGCATAAACTTAGTCATTTATTTAATAACATTTAATTATGGAGAGTGTGAAAAGTAGTGTACAGAAAATATGGTCTGTATTTCATTTCTCTTTCCACTGAAGTACACGGTAAATCAGGTTTTATTTTAATTACACTACAGCAAGAGTTGATTTATATTTTCGTTCAGCTCTTGTTAATTTGATAACCGCTCAGTTCAGAGCTGTTACAGTCAATACTATAGCTCCCTAAATTGTTGTGTATCCAGGATTGCTGAAAAGGGAAAAATCTTTGGTTTATTCTTCTGCATTAAAACAGGAAAATTACAGCACATGGGACAGAAATGCACACGGCATCTCAGTATTTTATTTGTTGGCTCTACCTTAGCAGGAAAATCATGTGCACCATGTATAGGTGATTACTGTGTACACAAGCTCAGTAATTAAAACCATCAAAACATCTTTTTCTTTTCATCACAGCAAGTATTATCCTTTAAAATGTATTTCTTGTCACTGCTTTGAGCAGGACATTGAAATGCAATGGAGGCTTAAGAGTGGTCTTAGAATTTATTGGCCAAAAATAATGAAAATTCTCGGTACTTATCTCACATTTATGAAATTTTGTCTCTGGTAAGATTAATCTTAAAGGATTAAAATTTATATGTGAACTGGACATAAAATGACAGTCCAAGAATTGGAGTAGAAGCACATCCTTGCAGGACAGATAGCACTTGGCTGTGAGGGTTCATTTGCAACTCCTACTATTTTAAAGAGAATGCTGAGTACATCTTCAGACTGAAATGCCAGTTCCTCCCATCATTTAGTGCCAGCCCAAGTGGATTTCCGGGTTGCTTATAAGTAATTCTCTTTCCCATTGATTATTCTATGTTAAGAGGCAGAGTTATGTCTTTGCATATAAGCTCACTGGTTCCTGAATGATTCAACACTCCCATGGAGTGTAATACAGCAAAAAAAAAAATCCCTTTTTGATCTGTTTGAACTAGTATATCACTGAGAAACTCTATCAAAAGAGCACTGAGATTCTCACAGGGAAAAAAAACAGGATTTATGCTTCAATTTTAATGTTTCACATGTCAGTTTATGACCTCTATCACCTTGTCATATAACACCTGCTACCACTACACATCCATTTTTTAGTCTAATGAACACCTCCACACCTTTTTTCATCTTTAATTAAGCTGTATAAAATTTTTTATGTTCTGTATCTCTTGCTGCCATCTCTATTCTGGTCTGGTTGCTTGAGGTGGCACAATTTGGAGATTGCCATTTTTCCTTTTCCCTCTGCCACCACGGGCATTCTGTGGGATGCTCGAGCTCAGACTTGTCCCCTCTGTGGCTGCCAAGGATGGGCACCTGCAGGTCTGAAGCACTGGTTGATAGCAGCGCTGAAGGGAGGGTCCTTCAGCTGGTAAATCCAGTCTTTTCATTTATCATAGAATCACACAATGGTTTGGGTTGGAAGGGACCATAAGGATCATCCAGTCCCACCCCCTGCCATGGGCAGGGACACCTTCCACTAGCCCAGGTTGCTCCAAGCCCTGTCCAACCTGGCCTTGGACACTCCCAGGGATGGGGCAGCCACAGCTTCTCTGGGCAACCTGTGCCAGGGCCTCCCCACCCTCCCAGGGAAGAACTTCATCCTAATATCCCATCTAAACCTCCTCTCTTCCAGTTTTAAGTCATTCCCCCTTGTCCTGGCACTTGTAAATAGTCTCTCCATCTTTCTTGTGGGCTCCCTTCAGGACCTGCAAGGCCACAATAAGGTCACCCCAGAGCTTTCTCTTCTCCAAGCTGAACAATCCCAACTGTCCCAGCCTTTCCTCCCAGCAGAGCTGCTCCAGCCCTCTGATCCTCTTGGTGCCTCCTCTGGATTCTCTCCAGCAGCTCCATGTCCCTCCTGTGCTGTTCCCAGGGCTGGAGGCAGCTCTGCAGGGGGGTCTCACCAGAGTGGTCCAGAGGGGCAGAATCCTCCCCTGCCCTGCTGCCCAAATTTCTTGTGATGCAGCCCAGGGGACACTTGGCTTTCTGGGCTGCAAGTGCACTTTGCTGACTTGTGATCCACAAGTCAGGAAACTACACAGCTGTAGTTTTTTTCAGTAAAAGTCCTTAACATCATCTTCTGAAAAAGCTGTTTTCAGGCTCAATTTTTAGTCTGTGTTGCGATCCAACATTTCTTAAACCTTGCTGCTTTTTCCTTTTTTTTCTTGCCCCCAAGATTTGTCCACAAACTGAACTCCAGCTTTTTTAACTGAGTCTTTCTTGTTTGCAAGGGGAAAAAAATTCATTTGCCTGTACCTGGTTGGTGTGTGGCCCATAGAGCTGAGCATTTAGAAAGAAAGTCTTTGGTGAGCTGTTGGTGGAGGCCTGTTAAACTCTGATCTTTTGAGCACACAGCTGTGTAGTTTCCTTGCTGACTTGTGAATCCAGCCTCTGATCCACCAGCACCCCCAGGGCTGCTCTCCATCTCTTCATCCTCAGCCTGGATTCACACCAGGGGTTGCCCCGACCCAGGGGCAGCACCAGCACTTGGTCTCACTAAACATCATGAGATTCCCAGGGGCCACTGCTCGAGCTTGTCCAGCTTTAGTCCAAGTTTTTAAAGTCCTGTAGTTGTGAAACCTGAGCCATCATCTGCAGTGTGAACACCCTTGTGTTTGGGGTTGCTGTTTGTCCCACGGAGGTGTCACCTGCCCTGGCTTTGAGAAGGTGACATGTGAAAATGCAGCAATGTGTGTGCAGCCATGTGTGTCCAACAGGCTGGGGGGTGGCAGCAGACGCTTCAAAGGTTCAGCATTTTGTGGGTACAGAAACTCCCATTAAACAATAATCTATTTAAAGGCATTGACAGCAGGGAAGTAAAGGCAGCGTGCTTCTAATGTACTTGAAGGCAGTTAATTAAATTACTTCAGTTTTCTTTTAGGGCGCCTCAAGCAGAAACTCGATTGCATTTCTGCTTTTCACAATAAGGTTGGCAATTTGGCTAATTGGAAGTGCAACAGGAGATTAATTGTACCTTTTTAACTTCAAGAAAATCCTCTCTGCTCTTGGCACAATGGTAATCACATACGGACCTACAGGATAGTCACACACTTGGAAAAATCCTGGTATTATGTTTCAATTAAACTCCTTCTCTTCTAAATGCTAATTCAAGAAATCAGATGAAAATAGAAGCTCAAGTCTAGAAAAACCAGAATCCTTCCAGCCAGGTGTGAGAGCAGCACAGGAGAGGCACTGCTGAGGGTCCTTCCTGGCTTTGTTCTCTCTGGATTCATGGCAAATGTGGTCTGAGAAGGATGACCGTGTTCCACATTAATACTGCAAGTGACAAAGACAGCCAACAAAAACCTAGATAATCCTAAATTTGCACAGGACTGAAAGATTGAAGATTACTATAAAGCCTGGTTGTTTAAGTGCATTAGTTAAATCATTTTTATGTGATATCTTGATTGGCAACAAAATATTAATAATTTTTCATTGCTCTCTTAATCAGAAGCTTTCATAAGCAACTCGTAATAATTTGTCTTGTCCTGTCTGTGAGGAGCTCTGTTAATGAGTTGTCACACAGCTATTGAAGAAGAGCCATCCTAATGGTACATGTAATTAAATGATCTCTCTTGCAAACATTTAAGATTGCTTTTAGCATAAAAATATTATTTCTCCATAAATTACCCATCCATATTATTTGTCCATTAGAAGTCCCTTTGCAGTTCTGCTTTAAAAAGTCACATCAACTTTTCTCATGCAGAAAATAACTATAATGTAGCTGAAACTGATAAGATTGTCATAGCTATAAATTGATTTCTGATTACAAATAGTGAAGTGGTTCAGATGTGTCATCTTTCAAAATAATATACTTTTGCCTCCTGGGAACAGGCAATACATTTTCCCAAATATATGCTTATGCAAGCATTCCTCAATTTGAAAATATAATAAACTCCTCGTGGAGTCAAAGGTACTTACATAATATTTACAGGGCATTGTTTCACATGATTTGACATTATCTCCAGAGAAAAATACATAAATTGATAAAATTTATAAACATAAGTTATTCCTTCAGAAGCAGACACAAACAACAGAGAAGAGAGGATTACCATAAGAAAACAAATATTGTGGTGTACAGGTGGATAAGAACGTGGTGAATTCCCAAGTGTAATGCAAGTAGCTAGAGCAGAAACTCTTTAGTGTCTTTCATTACTGATTTCATTTTTATCTGTACATTTTAACTCAAACTGGCCTTAGATCATTAGTTCAAAACTCAGCTTTTCTAACAAGTTGTTTGCCATCTTTAATGTTTGAAACCCAAAGCAAACAGCCAACCTTTGAAGTGCAACTCCCTGGCATTAGTTTTCCCATTAAAACAG